CTCCTATTACTTGTGCACTGACACAATAAATGGTTTGTAAATGCTGTAACTGCGAGTAAAATAAGCCGGCCGGTTCTTTAGTGAAGCAACAACACAAACGGTTTCTTTATATTCAGTCAAATATAGCGCACGAGCCAGGTCATTCCCGGGGTTTAAACACCACAGAGTAGTTTAAGCATTGGGCTAACGCTCCTACAAGTATAATTTCCTTTTTTGAATAAATGTTATGTTTTGGCGTAGGTACATTTTATTTTCCAAATGGTAGGCCTATTTAGAAATAAAGGTGGGGTAGGTAATTCACTTCAGAAACACTTTTTGTTATATTCCATGGAATGCTCTTAACATCCCGATAGCAATGAATACATTAAATGCTTTGACAATAAATACATACAAAAATGTAAGCGCCGTCAGCCTTCCATCTCGTGCACAAATGTATCTCGTGACCTCATTGGTCATGTGCGCGTTCGTGTGTGTTGGAGGAGGGGCTCTATAAGGAAGTCTTTAGTATGGGCTCAGAACCAGTCTCATAATACACACGATTCAAACTTGTATTTCATGATCCGCAAAAGGATTCACACTTGTATTTCTGGATCCACACTTGTGTTTTTCAATGCACACACAAATGTGTTCCGTTTCATACAAGTACGGTACTCGAAGGCGACAGAGGCAGTCTAGAGTCGTCGCAGACTAGGAGAGAGCGCAGGCCGAATGTGAAGTGAGCGCCAAATACGGAAGCGTATAGTTAGTCTAGGTCGGAGAGGACTAGCCGGAAATATCTCCTCGTGGCTAAGTTTGATAATTCCCTCACCTTATAGCCGGCTATTACTGGCCGCCCCGGGAGGGGCGCAACCTTGCAAGTGACAGATCGTGAACGCGAAGCATCACGTGACTGAGCTAATCCGATTCGATTGGACATCGACGAGGCAGGTGTGAGCTTTGTTACAGGTATGTCTCGTATTTATTTCTTCGACATAAGCGTTATGTCCTTTGTGTGTAAATTTTGCAAAACAAACCGGACGGCAAAAAAAAAAGTGTGTTCGTAGGTAGTTACGCAAGCCTTTCAGCGCGCGACTTGGAATTATTATATTTCCGAACACTAAACGCACGTAACGAAAAGCCTTTCACTTACATGACTCTCCACCTGCACGAGGACTCTAATCGCGGACGTCAGTCCGAGGTACCCTGGACGAGTACGAGGCCTGACGCGTTACGCGATGTACGTCGCCCGATGCCAGTACTTTGCGTTCTTTAGATGCGGGCACCCCTGCGGGGCGAGTCACACCAATAACCGACCATCTAAATTCCCCCTCTGTCAGACTAACGCCGGCATATCTATCTTTCTTTAATGTTCAGCCGATGGCAGTCCCCCTCAGAGTTTTTGGCTCGTGTGCTTACGTGTCGGCTAGGCACGTGTCCTTTCGGCCCCAATGCAAACGTCCCAAGTCTCCAACAGATTATGCGCTTTTGTTCTATACACTCCCTAGTTTTTATGTATACATTTTTGAAAAAAGACATAAACATA